TTCGCCAGTTTTGGTGTCTCGAAGACGATGAAGCTTCTTTGCAAGGTCAAAGAAGAAATCGAAATAAGCTCCAAAATACGACGTCCACAAATAATGAGGGGCAATGATAATAAGAGCAGATATCAGTATAAATATCAGGTAATACTGACTATTGGGTAAACTATTGTAGCAGTAGTTATTAAGGTATGCTACTTGATCACGGGAAGCAGCAACATCAGTGATATAACACTGTATTATGGACCCTCTGAAAAACTCAACCGATATATCTAAGAAACTCAAACCCAGAATGGCTGATACCAAATAAAAGAGGATCTGGTCCCAATAGAAATCTTTTGGTGTGATGGGTGTGTCACCACTGCTGCCTCCTTTATTGGAGCTGGATGAATCTGACTTATCTGGGTCTAAGAATTCTGTCTTTTTATCACTGAACACAATCTTGTCAGCACTTGCATTCTCCATCACAGCTCCAGCAATTGCACCTGCAGTACCAGCCATTCCTGCTCTTCTCTTCTCCTTGTGGGGTGATAGAGGAATCTAGGGGCAGGGCCTACATAGCTTTGAGGCTAATGCATATAGGATTAAACTGGTTTGTACTATAGGGAAGTACACCTGGTTGTTGATATAGTAGAAACCACATTCTTAGCATGGGCTGGATGGCAGTTGCTTATCAGTAGACAGTTGGCAGAGTATTAAAAGGAAGTAGAGATAACAGAGGTCTGATCATGAAAGTGTCACCATGCAGAAACAATGTCTCCATTAAGCCATAAATTTGATTGACTATATACATGTGTGTACTTTGTTTAAAACCAGCATTCATCTACATAAGAAATGGTTGATGAGTTATGACAGAGATAATCACTACATGATGGATACATGTTCTATATAAATTAAGATCAATTTGCTCTAGTGTATCTGTATAGTTTCATTTCTATGACACACTCAACGTCACCACAATAACACGTTAGTCCTTCATCGTCACCAACTTTAATAAAAGAAGCCTCTCCTATTGCTTTCCTTAAATCAAGGATTGTTCTAATGGATGACTGCTGCTCTTCTGCAATGGGACCCTCTTCATCTTCTATTGGCTCAAAAAGACTACAAAAAGCAAAAGCATCATCATGCATGTACAATGCATTATAATTACACTATAGCAATCACTGCTTACTCTTTTGGTGGTATGTAACGTAGAAAATGACTCCTCACATCAACTCCATTGATCAGTAGAGGCCTAACTGCCAGCATAAGACACTTCTTTGCAATGTCAGATGCAGTATTGAACCTTTCTAACAACAGATTCACTATAGAATAATGATGACAATAAGTTTAAGCTGCATTTAGACAATTACATTTCTTTCTTTCTTAATCCTTACCAGTAACTTTTCTAGATTCTTCTGTGATTGGTCCCACAGTGAAGAGATTGATGTATTGGTCACTTTGATCTCCTTCTCCACTTCGTCTAGCAGCTCTTTCTTCAGCATTCTCAGGAGGACACATGAAGAATATGTCCTCAAGAGCAACATCAAACTATAATAGAAATGAACACATTGATTATATAGTTGGATTCTATGCTGAAAGAACAAAACAAAGGCTATATATAGCCCATGGTTTTTTCCAAAAAATGGCTCCGAAATCACTCCCAATTTTTATTACATTTTCTGATACATATTGATGTACTTATGCTGTGTAGAAAGTTTGAGCTCATTCCGACTTCAATTTTTCAAGTTACAGCCATTTTAAGAAAACATCAAAATTTTGAAAAATACCCAAGGCTATAATAGCCCATGGTTTTTTTCCAAAAAATGGCTCCAAAATCACCCCCAATTTTTATTACATTTTCTGATACATATTGATCTACTTATGCTGTGTAGAAAGTTTGAGCTCATTCTGACTTCAATTTTTCAAGTTACGGCCATTTTAAGAAAATGGCGAAAATCTGAAAAATACCCAAGGCTAATAGCCCAGTTGAAAAGGGAACAAAGCCCTCAAAAAATTTATTATAAAAAAGGGTAGAAATAAACATGTAGGTTAAGGAAAAGAAAAGAAAAAAGAAAGCAAGGTTAAAGATAGGTTAAGGTAAAGATGGATACAAAGAATGAGAAAGAAAATAAATAATAATAATAGTAATAACAATAATAATAATAATAATAATAATAATAATAATAATAATAATAACAATAATAATAATACTAATAATAATAATAAAAGAAATAATAATAATGGAATAAAACTTTTTAAATGATTAAAATTAAGAAATATCAATGTGGGCATCAGAGGCCGCTCTGTCAAAATCTGAATAATCAATTACTTTGCTACGATGCCTGGTGCCCCTTATACAACGGATTGCAGACCGAAGGATGGTAAATGAATACTGGCAACAAATGAATAGCCCATGGTTTTTTCCAAAAAATGGCTCCGAAATCACCCCCAATTTGTATTACATTTTCTGATACATATTGATGTACTTATGCTGTGTAGAAAGTTTGAGCTTATTCCGACTTCAATTTTTAAAGTTACGGCCATTTTAAGAAAATGGCGAAAATCTGAAAAATACCCAAGGCTATAGCCCATGGTTTTTTTCCAAAAAATGGCTCCGAAATCACCCCCAATTTTTATTACATTTTCTGATACATATTGATGTCCTTATGCTATGTAGAAAGTTTGAGCCGAGTTCAACAAATATTTTTTGAGTCATGAGCATTTTAACAATTGACAGGATGATGTGGTTGACTTACATTGTCTGCTTCATTTGCAGGGAGAGAGTAATAATCAATAGGAACAGTGATAATGTTAACTTGATTGAGTAGTTTGTCCTCTATCACTTGCTTCTTGTTGTTTCGATAGTGAGAATGAAAATTCAGGACACAAACCTTAATAAAGAATAATGATAATTATTATTGTACTACTGACTCACAGTTTCAAAAGACCATGCTAGAATAAAAGAGCAGCCAAAGCCATCAAAAGAAATATCAATGGCAAGTCGGCGATACTCCCTCCCTCCCTTTTTATGGGACTTTACTAATTGGAGGAAACCGTAGAGCCGATTTTGAAAGCTTTTATCTTTTTTAATGTCTTCCTTTCTATTACCTAGCTCACCTGAAAGCAACCTAGCAATAAAGAAAGAGTATAACCCAACATAATACTGCACACTATACCTGCTTGCTAAATCTTTATTTTCTTTATCCATGAGGACCTTAGCTAATATTCTAATTGAGCCCCTTTGGTTACTCCAATCAGTTAGTGTCTCTGTCCATTGGCTTAATGTCACTTCCTCTGTTAGCAAACCATATCTCTGAGGACCACATTCTGGTGCAAAGGTCACTTGTTCAGCTGTAGGAGAAGATACAGTTGATTCTACTCCAGTTCTTTGAAAAAGAGCCTCAAAGAAATCAGTATAACTCTCTCTTTCTTGATGCAGTTTAGTAGCTATTGCTTTGATCTCAGCTTTACTGGGTGGCTTCTCCTACACAATATTGGTAATCATTATAAGAGAGAGATTCCATACATATAAATTCAAAGCTACTGCCTACTGCTACATTCACTTACTTGTTCTTCTGCTAGTCCGAATCTCTTGTTGTGCTCAGTTTCAACTTCAAAACGAGGAGCTCCGTGGAAATCAATTTTCACTGGCCACTTGAAACCAGCTTGTCTAAATAATTCCGTTGCCTGAGAGGCACGATCCACATCAGACTCCTCCGCTACCTCAACTAACTGTACTTCAGTCTCAGTTCCTTCACTTCGCTCTCTTTCAGCTGCTGCCCGCTGCTCGGCCCTCTCTTGCAGTCGTTTCCTGTTAGCTCTAAACATTTGGGACTTGTGATTAACAATGAGCTGAAGGAGCTCACTGCTCTTGTTGTAATGCTTTGTCATTTCTTGGGAAATCTGGAGCTGCTTAAAGGTAACGCCTTGACCAGAGCTGGCTTGAAACAGAGACAGCAATAAGAAATCAATATCACTCTCTATCCTTGGGGTGAAGGGATCCCTCCAGAACTGGGACGGGCGATAGAGGTCATGATGAAGATTAGACTGAGAGGAGAACTCAGCCACTCTCTTGCTGCCTAGTTCTGTTGGGTGTCTTAGGAGAGTCCATAGGAGGCCATAAACCAAGGAAAGGATAATAGCAGAGAGGAGGATGAGGTCACCATAGCGAAGGAGAGAGAGGAAGCGAAGGGACGGATAAACACACGTTACTGTTTCTGCTATCGGCCATTTCTTTGGGTCGTTGATAATGTCCTCTTCCTGAGCTGCAGTTGGGCATACAAACATTTCAGAGAAATCAACAAAATAGCATAAACTGAAGACGACTGACCCAGATGCTGTTAGTAACTGGAGGACTAGTTTAATCAAGTAGCCGGAGTAGATTGGAGGAAAGTTGAATACTCTCCACAACTTTATCCTTATTGTGTTTGAAAGCTCGGTCTCTAGCCTTGTCACAATTTTAAAGTTCTTGTTGGAAAACTCTCCATTTGAGCTCTCCCTCAGTCGATCCAGACTGCTCACCAAATCAAAAAAGAAGTTGTATTTAGATTCAAAGGCAGTCTTCCAGAGTATGTGTGGGCCAATGATAAGGAAACCGTGTACAATGATAAATAGAGTAAAATACTCTGTACGTGGAAGACTAGAATAACAATAATTATTAATATATGCAACATAGTCCCTTGCTGTGATGTTTGGAGTATAACAAGTAACTGAGTAATCACGAAAGAAATCTGTTGATAGGTTGAGTAAAGTTAGGCCAAATATGCCACCAACCAGCCATTTTACTATATCATCCCACTGGAACTCTTTCCTTGATAATAGTTTTGAGCTTGGCTCACCTTCGTCCAGATCACCACGTTTTGCTTTCTCAATTTTTTTAATGAGCTCGAGTCCTCCTTGTAAAGCTCCTGGGCTTATGTCCTCCATATTACAAGGACTGCTATTATTAGTCCAGACATGTGGCTAGTAGTGGGCAATGGGTATAGTACAGTGTAGGTTAGAGGTTACAATAACTATATTCATAGATGCACAGATGCATGCTAATGACCAATAACAGTGCTCATGGCTATAAGAATGCTCTCTTAGACATTTTGACAAAATACACTGTACTATTAGTAACGCAGTCATGTTGCTAAGTAGGATTCATTGTACATGATCTTTAGCCCAATTTTTGAGCAACTTTAAAAATTTATAAAAAATCCAATTTTGATCAGAATCAGCTCAAACTTGCTAGTTGCTACACAATATTAAAAAAAGTATGTGTATTAAAAATTATAAAAATAGAAAATTCACTCCTTTTCATTTTTGACGAAATTTGGCCAATCTGATTTTAGTGCAACTTTAAAAATTCCAATTTTAATTGAAATCAAGTCAAAATTTTAATGTAACATAAGTGTTATATTGTGCAGCTCATTTTATCAAATAAGAAAATAAAACATAAGCCAGGAATGATGTTACCATACTCATAAGTTAATATAATCTCATTCACTGTATAGTGTATACTTTCAGTCTGATGGTGTCCCTTTGTTCTTATTGTGAAGGTCTTTCAATTTAATCTTGTTCTGTCCGAGGACTATCATACAGCGAGAAGCTCTGAGTCTCTCAGAAGCCGGTCCAAACTCTGGCTGATGGTACAGTACCAGTTCATAATACCCAGCAGCCTCGCGGTAAAAACTCTAGAAATAACAAAGTACTTTTTAATTGCACTACAGGTCAAAGTTCAAACAAAAATATTCTGGTCAGTATATTAAGAACTTGAGGCGTGACAATTTGAAAATGGTAGATAACATTTTTAATGTTTTCATACTTACCTGAGCTGCTAGTATATTGGCCATGGTAAAGTGATTCACTACCAGGTTAGGTGATGTCTATACAGAATAAGAGGGTAATCATAACATAGTTTATTATTAGAGGAGCTAACCTCCAGGGCATACTGCATGCAGGTAGCAGCATCTTCATAATAACCAGATCTGTAGAGGACATTAGCTAAACTAACATAAGCTACATCCTAGCAATGAGACAGAGAAAGGAGGAGAGAATCAGTTTAAAGAATAAAGGAAGAAGAGAAAAAAGAATAAAATATTAATATTCTCTATATCCTTATTCCTTACTTTATTATGAGGAGGGGCATGATAGAGTGCGTGTTTCAAACACTTTAAAGATTGTACCCCATCACCAACTATCCTCCAATAGAGAGCAGCCAAATTAGACACCACCCAATTAGTATCATTCTACAGCATTGTATAATGTTAGCCCATTAGTGTGTGCATGTACAGCAGTAGTAGTAGTACCTTTATCATTGCTAGTTTCATTCTGGTGGCCATTTCTTCCATGGAATGATAGGAACCAGATAATTTGCACAATACCTAATTTAGACATTACTTTAATGATAATATTTAATATAGTTTAAAATACTATTGATAAATAGCACTATTAGTATTGCAATAGTTAGTATTAACTGTAATTTCTTACTCACCTCTTCTAGGCCTCTCTCAGCTATGTAGTCCAGTAATGGCGGCTCAGTCATTCCCTGTATAATAGTATGATAACAAATGAAGAGAGTGTTTCATTTACGTGTGATTATTGACCTTTAAGTGATTCAGTGTTGCAGGCGAAGGATCAAAATTTAACTCGCAGGAGGGCAGTAAGGAATAATCATCAATGGATTGAGTGAAATCCATATAATCAGATATACTAAAGAATAGAGGAACAGTAATACATTATATATTATTATTACACATACTTTATTTTTTTGGCAGTGACAGAGAGCCAGGTACTAGTAAATACCACATATTGAGGTGGTGGGTTACCCACGCAGTCATCGAGTGTAGGCCAGGGAAGATTATCAGGCCATTTCTTTCTAAGTTCCTCCTCCCTCTCATTCTCCTTTGCCATCAGCTCCATCGTGTACTTGGGCTTTTGAGAGCGACGGGAAGGAGAGGAGTGCTTCTTCTTAGCAGGAGAAGGTTTAGTGGGTTGTGATGAAGAGAGAGAGGGGGAGGGGGAGGGAGAGGGAGGGTCTGAAGGAGGAGAGGGAGGCAGTGAATGTGAGGATGAGATGGATGGATGAGACTTTCTTTTTTCTCTTCGTAAAGTTTTTGCCAGCTGTGTCAAATACAGCACGGCCTCATCTACAGGATGGTTCTTTGTTTCGGATTCTTGCTTGATCTTCATCAGTTTCTCTTTAATGCTTAGAAGATTCTCTGCCGTGAGGTTATGCCCACTCTTAATGAGCTCCTGCTGTGCTAGCAATAACTGTTGCTAAATATAGTAACAAAAATAATAACTGTTACTAAATATAGTAACAAAAATTACTTTTTGCTCCAAAATTTTCTGTTCCTCTTTAAACTTCAATGAGCACCTGACCAGCTTCAGTGCGGAGTAGGCGTGGCTAAAGTGTGGCTGAAGATGGAGGGACATTCTCAGGTGCAAATTAGTAGCTTTTAAATTCCCTTGAGTCAAATATATACCAGCAACCGTGTAGTGACCGATCGGCTAAAATGGGAGGGGCTAATAAAACAAACCACACCCTAAAGACTCACTGAATCAGTCTGTATATCTAAAGCAGCTCTAGCAGCTATCATTGCACTCTCCAACTGGTTGAGACGATGGAGTACATTAGCCAGACCAATGAGTCCAATGTCTCTTGAGGTCTGAGGAGCATAGTGTATCCCTCTCCTTAGACACTCTATACTCTCATACCCATTACCAATGGACCTCCAGTAGACTGATGCTAGATTATACAGGCCCCAGTGCTGTGGGTACTGGAACATAAAGGAAGTATCTTTCATAGTTTATAATAATCATAGCAGTAGTTGTGTGTTTAATTGTGTGTGTATATAAACTGTGCAGAGGGTGCAGTAATGTGGTAGATAAGACAACAGAAAGTAAAAGTAAACATGCACTATTTACACACAAACAATGCCTATACACACACACATACATGTACATGTATTCTTATTATACATGTATGCACCAATATAATGTATCTGTTGTATGCTAGTGCATGTACTTGGTATAGAGCAGCTGTTATCCATTGAGCTGATTCATTTAGTGAAAGTTTAATGCCAGTAGCATCACTTACAGTAGTAATGAACAGCTAATTAAATAACAAAAATATATATTAGTTAATAGTCTTAATACATTATACAATGTACATCGCTTACTTGTTTCAATGCAGTTTCTGCTACACTTTCTCCCGTGGGTAGTTCCTCTCTTCCAGCCACCCCCATCAGGTGATCCAGTGCTACCATACTGTAAGGTAATGGTACCACTTTAGCACAATGGGGCTCTTGATGTGACGGCAATGGATACTTGGTCAACAGATCTTTAAACCTGATAATATATTCAAAATAACAAACAGATTATAATCTCTTAATTATTATTATAAACAAGTGATAAAACAATAAACAACACACAAAGTAACAACAATAACAATAAACTATTATTATTATAATTTCTTACTTGATTCCGTGAGCTTCTGGTGTCAGAAAGGTTCCGGTGAAACGAGGTAAGTTATCGTTCAATCCTTCAACTACTTCAAGACACTGAGCCTTGTTAGGCCAGTAAGGATCATTATAATCAACTGATGGTGTCTTATTCTGGAACACTAGCTCTTCCACTGATGGAGACAGAACAGACAAAGGCATGAACTCCATTGAGCGATAAGCCTCAGTGTAACGGGAAGGTTTCTTGGGTTTTGTCAAAGGAGGATTCTTTGTTAGGGTAAGGTTTTTAAAAAGTTTCTCAGGGCATATCGGCCTTGGATAAAAAAGGAACTGAACATTAGGACAAATGTTGCTAGTAGCATCAGCCTCCGTTCTTCTTTTAGTAGCTGATATTCTTTTCTTCTGTTGTTCTTGTCTTCTTTCCTTGGTGCCAGGAGGATCTGTACTGCATCCGTCACATTTTACTGTAATTTTAGGTTTCATTTCTTTCAAACTTTTAAGTTTCTTCTCAACTAAAAGTTGCTTGTCTTTGCTCTTACAGACTCCATCATCCATTACTAATGATATGTCCTTCACCATACACGAGATGAGGATCTCAATAGCACTAACATTAGACGACTGAGGATTAGAATGACACTTAGCAGTGGCATGGGAATGAGTCTGGGTAGTACTATGAGAATGAGCCAGGGTAGTATGGGAATGCGGTTGCGTGTGAGCAGTCTTCTCAGTCAGCAAGTCTATCCAGTTAATAAAAGATCCATTTGGTTTATCAGAAACATCTTTTAAAGCTTCGTCGAGTAACTTGCAAAACTTTTTCAGTTGGTTCTTAGCATCAAGGATCTGACTCATGGACCCATGGGGAAGCCCCTGACTAATGAGTCTACAGTATATCCTATCACGCAATCCAAGTGTTGATCTTATTCGATATTGAAAGTGTAATGCAGTATCCAGTGATGTTACTGATTCACTAAGATAACCTAATTTCTATAAAATCAAAACAAAATTATGCATTTAATTAAAGGGGCATACTCACCGAGTATATCCTCCCCAGTAGATACAATAGTGGGCCACGTGATGTGGAGAATGACAGTGCTATCTTTAATGGAGTGAGAGCCTCAATCAGTCGATTAGAAGTAAACAATACACTCGCCAAATGAAGTAAAGGTATATCATGATATTTACTAAATAGAAATATAATATTACATTTACTTAATATTAAATTTATTTCCTTTCATACCTTGGTGAATAGTATAGTGTCCTTTGAATGCAGTCAATGGCTTGATTGGCATCGCCATACACCCTCCAGTATATTGAGGCTAAACTGTAGAGTACCCATGATGTAGTGTTCTGTGACATATAGAAAAAAGAAAAGAAACAAATAATGGAAGCAATGTATTAAATTCATATCAGAGTAGAGTACATAAAAACAAAATTTATGCTAAAAACATGCTACAAATTATATTGTAATATCATTAATAATATAATATACTAATCTCATACTCGTTCCAGTCCTTGGTAGACCGAGTTCCCAAACTCATTCATTTGCAAATAGAACGGAATGAGGAGGAGGAGCTCCTGCTCTGACGCAATGAGTGAGCCTTTCTCTTGTACAGCTGGTAAGTGACTCATAGTGAGCATAGAGAAGGGTAGGTCTGAGAACTGGCTGCAAACTGGCTGGCGTGATGGCTCAAATAAAGCAGGATCCAAATAATCATGATGACTACAAAAAAATTAAATTTACAACACCTTCAGAACGTATGTAAAAATAATTGTTTTAATTACTTTTAAATCGGTGCAAAATTGCATATGTATTTACCTGATTCCTTTATCTTCAAGAGGAATGATTGCTGGTTCTATTAGTAGAGATACTTCATTCTCTGGTAAGCATTTATTGGTGAATTCTCTTCCACTGGGAGTAAAGTGATTGTTCATTTCCAACTGCTCGAGGAAACCACCTCTATAGCTAACCAGCTTCTCTCTCAGTATCTGTAGACTGAGCAGTCTCTTTTCTTGCTTTATGAGGGCCATTAGGTCATGGGATTGGTACAAAGCGAATGGGGAATCATCCTACATTTTAAATTAAAAAATAAAGTAGGACTATTTTAAAGAATCCTTCACTTGTGGCCTAATCTTTCCTCTCTCCGTCACTATCCAGTGGTTTGAGGACTCAGAGGAGGAGAGAAGGAGAGAAAGGAGAAAGAATGGGCACAGCAGTGGGGAAGACATTGCAACCCACTTTTCCCTTTGCAATTATGGGCGTGGCTCATTAAGCAAAGTTGATTTGGCGGCAAAAATGGCGGCAAAATCAAACCCCGCCTTTAAGGTGTGGCATAAATTTTCTCTCAAAATGGCGTCCAAAAGGGTAGCAGTTGTTACTGGCTCAAATAAAGGCATTGGACTTGCAATTGTCCGTAGCCTCTGCAAGAAGTTTGATGGTGATGTTATCCTTACATCACGTGACGAGGGGAGAGGAAAAGAGGCTGTGAAACAACTGAAGGAAAAGGAAAGTCTCAACCCAGTCTATCATCAGTTGGATATAACTAATGCACAATCTATTGAGGGGCTCGTTACCTTTGTAAAGGATACTTATGGAGGCCTTGATGTCCTTATTAATAATGCTGGGATTGCATACAAATCTGCTTCAACAGGTACATGTATGTAGTAGTTTTAATTGTGCGGCCAGATCCTCCACCCCTTTTAGGGGTGGAGAATCTGACCACACGATCCGAGACTAGATTTGCAGTGTAGTATACTGTAGTGTATTCAATAATAATTAAGGGTATGGTGCTAACATTGCAAATAATTTCCACAAAAAAGTCATTTTTTCAAAGTTTTGCTCGGCGAAATTAAAGTGCTACTTTATACAGCATATATATTATAATATTAGTAATAAATGATGATAATAATACTAATCTATAGTGTACAATGCATTTATAATCTGTTCAGATATGCTATAAGTACAAAAAGGGTTCAAATTTTTGAGTGTTTAAAATTTTGTGTTTTCAATGAAATGTGCTCAAAAGTTAATATTCGTGTGAGCTAATTTTTGTGTTTTGGCCATAGTCTACATACAATAGAATGACATTAGAGGTGGTTTGAATTTTGTGGATTTAAGGTGAGCACGAAAATAATGAAATTTAATGCACCTTGAAAATTAAGACGCGTGCGGAATCAACTTGTATATAACTTCATGTTGTAGTTGCAAATGAGGCTGTTTTCAGGAGCTTGAATTAAGTTTAATCAATTTCAATTAATCAGCAGGCAGCAACAATGCACAACACAATAAAATAATGATAATTTAAGTAAATTGCACATTCAATCTAACTGTAAAGTAATTTTTATTATACTACTTGTTAGTTTAAATTGGTTTTAGCATTGTTTTCAAAATGCTCACACTAGCCATGGCTTTGTCCTTGATGTAGCCTTTACACTGACTCTGAAGTACAGACTATCATCTTTAAGATACACACAATTAGTAATTGGATTATACTTTAACTGGTCATGTGAGATAAATTCTGCAATACCCCATCCACCTGCAATACTTCTCTCTTCCCTCACTCTTTGCCTGTATTTCTCTGGTGTTGATTCATCAAATGATATGATACCCTTCTTATGATTCCTATCCCCCAGTTGATTCAGTAGCTCTACTGTAACTTCTCCTCGAAACGGCCACTCCAATGTATCATCATATTCTCCTATCTCAAGACACATGAAGCAAGAGATATGTGTACCTGTACCTTTACCAGTACAAAGACCATTAGGATAGACACGTAGTAACATCTTGTATCCTCCTGGTGATGTGTAGAACCCTGGGCTGTACCAATCCTCATTTTCTTTATTCCTCTTAAGCTTAGCAAATTGGCTTATCTTAATTACTTCTTTTGATGCTATTGATTGATTTTGCAGCGAGTTTATTGTCCTTGTTGCCACTTTTAGTTGCTTATTTGTTGATTCCAGTTGTTCCTTTGTCAATTTTAGATGTACTTTCATTGATTCTTCATTGTGCTTCTCTTGTTCTTCTCTCTTCATTACCTTGTTACATCCAACAGTATTGTATTCACATTGTATGATAGCTTTAAGGCAGGTCTCGTTGTGTGATGCTAGTGAACGTCGTGGTATCTTCTCATTGCAGCCTCTGTTGCTGCATTGGGTTGGGAGGTCAGGACACTCATCAAGATGGCGTCTACTTGTTATCAGCTGGTGTGTGCCTCTTTGTTTGCAGTACTGGCATCTAACCGTACGTTTAGTACAGTTGTCTTTGAGATGTGTCTCCAGTGAATTTCTACTAATCTTCTCTCCGCACTTATTAGTACAAGGTACCGGTTGATAGATACAACTATTAAGATGAGTATCAATTGACGTACCAGTTTCATTAATAGTTCCTTGCCACTCACAACCCTTCTTACTGTTAGTACAGTGAATTTTAAGAGCTATGATCTCACGATTGATTCCGCCATCTTTGAAGCAGTTGGTTGGCTTTTGACATAAAGGACACCTTTTGCCTTCTATTTGGTCTATGCAGCTTTTACAAAACCTGTTGAAGCAGCAGGTAACTTGATGAGGATCACGTAGTACAAGTGTACAAATGCCGCATTTTAATTCATCGCTAGGCTCACCATCAACAAACTTATAGGCATATCCACCAAATACTTTACCTGTAGCCATTTTGGTAAGTATTCTGATCATGTGATAGTTTATATAGATAGTTTACTTACCATAAACTATACTAGAGATGATTCTGATATTTTGACCACAATGAGGGTACTGCTATCATTATTGTAGGAAACTCTAATGATCCACAAACAGTACATAATAGTTTAATTCAGTTATAGACTCCTCTAGTATCATGTTTTTGACATGAGAATTCGGAAAGTGGAAAACTAAGGTTTTATCTTAATTTTCATTATGTTCTTGGCAGCTAACCTGCTTGCAGTTGACATATGCAGTGTGATTTAAATTGTCTATGCTTTTAATTGCTTGACACATTTTAAACAAATAATCTAGTGTGCATGTAAAAGTTTATGCTAAAGTGATTTCCTAGATATGAGATTGGACTTGCATAGTCTTACAAGCCACTTGTTCTAACCATGTTGTGCATAACAGTATAAGATTAATTCATTTAATCCCAACCAAGTGTCAGATTTAATACCTTTTGCTCTTCCCATGATGTTTTAAGTTTGCCCAGTATATGTAATGATTTGTCGTTATTTTTCCCTATCGATTAAATAATTCTAAATCTAAAAAGCAAATGTGTATGTGACTATGTGTATATAACTATTTTGTGGCAAGTTCTAATAATTTAAAATGTCAGCTGCAAAATTCTATTAAGTTTATGTATTAGTTACTACAATTAAGCCAACTTTTGGCCCGTGATGTCACCTTTACACTGACTCTGAATTAGGCATCTATTATTATGGTAAGTGCCTACTATCTTGTTGTGAGGTCCTTTCTCTTGACAATATAGACACTGCACTATCCGTTTAGTATACAGTTGTCTGTCAGATTTGTCTCCAGTGCACTTCTCCTAATCTTCTCTCCACACTCATTAGTACAAGGTACCAGTTGATAGGGACAACTATTAAGATGAGTATCAATTGATGTACCAGTTTCATTAATAGTTCCCTGCCACTCACAACCCTCCTCACTGTTAGTGCAGTGAATTTTAAGGGCTGTGATCTTATGATTGAGCTTTTCATCTGTACAATATTTCAATTTTGGTTTTTTGCACATCAGACATTTAACATCTCCATTTTGCCCTAGTCTTTGTAGGCAAGTCTTACAGAAGGTATTGTGACAACTTTTTGGGGATCATGTGCTACAAATTTACAAATGTACATATGACACACATGTGTAGTGACTTATTTATAATTATGTGGATACTATTAATTGCTAATTTTTCTATTGGAATAAGAATTGAAATTGTTAGTGTGCATAACAATTTGATGTGCCATATTAACAATAATTTAGTAATTGCAATTATTAGTACCCACAAAATCTACTGGGAGTTAAAATAGCAATATTTTGTACCCGTAATTAAAAGTTACTCTAAGATTGCATCTACTAAGAGCATCACCATACATGTATACTCATATCCACCATATGCTCCATAAGCAGTAGTATCCATGAGAGAGATACAAGAGGGTGGTCTATTTACTTTCAATGGTTGTCATAGTATCAAACTAATCAGACTATAAATTTTGTTTACTTAATTAAAATTTGGCCGTGTGTTCTGCTGAAGACCTCCTCTATATAATTTGACAAATTTTATCAAATTTTCTAGCTATACAGTATTGGCTTTTATTTGAGTTATAGGCACTCGATTTAAGTTTGATCAACAATTATTGTACTGACACACATCAATTATTTAGCCAGTATAGAAATACACTGCATATAATTCTTTATTTTGAAAAATAACTAAGCTAACTCTAGGTTGAAAATAATTTTTTACTATAAACAGCTAAGATCAAGACAAAAGTTGTCAAGTTTTAGAAATTTTATTTTATGATATAATCCTTGATGTTCCTGCTAGCCATGACTTTGTCTTTGATGTAACCTTTACACTGACTCTGAAGTACAGACTATCATCTTTAAGATACTGACAATTAGTAACTGGATTATACTCTAACCCTTCATGTGATATGAACTTTTGAGAGCCCCATCCATTTGCGCTTCTACCTTCCCTCACTCTTTGCTTGTATTCATTACGTATTGATTCATTAAATGAAAAGGTACGCTTCCGATGATTCTTATCCTCCAGTTGATTCAGTATTTCTATAGTAACTTCTCCTTGAAATGGCCACTCCAAAGTATCATCATATTCTCCTGCCATGAGATGCATGAAGCCAGATACATGTGTACCTTTACCATCACCAGCTCCATTAGGATAGACACTTAATGACATCTTATATCCTCCTAGTGATGTGTAGAAGCCTGGGCTGTACCACTCCTCATTTTTTCCTTTCTTCTTAGTATATTGGCTTAGCTTAATTACTTCATTTGAGGCTATTAATGGATTTTTCTGTGCTATCAGAGATTTTATTGTCTCTGTTGACTCTTTTAGTTGCTCTTTTGTTGATTCTAGTTCTTTACTTATGGCTTGTAGCTGTGCCTTTGTCAATTTTAGATGCATTTCTGTTGATTCTTCATTGTGTATCTCTTGTTCTTCTCTCTTCATTTTCTTATTACATCCAACAGTATTGTATTCACATGGTATGATAGCTTTAGGACAGGTCTCATTGTGTGATGCTAGTGAACGTCGTGATATCTTCTCATTGCAACCTTCATTACTGCATTGGAATGGGAGGTCAGGACACTCATTGAGATGATTGCTGCTTGTTATCAGTTGGTGTCTGCCTCTTTGCTTGCAATACTTACAGTTAACCATACGTTTAGTACAGTTGCCTGTCAGATGTGTCTTCAGTGCACTTCTCCTAATTTTTTCTCCGCATCCATTAATACAAGGTACCAGTTGATAGGTACAACTATTAAGATGAGTATCAATTGATGTACCAATTTCATTAATAGTTCCCTGCCACTCACAACCCTCCTCACTTTTAGTACAGTAAACCTTAAGAGCTATGATCTCACGATTGATTCCACCATCTTTGAAGTAGTTGATTGGCTCTCGACATAAAGGACACCTTTTGTCTTCCATTTGGTCTAGACAGCTTTTACAAAACCTGTTGAAGCAGCAGGTAACTTGATGAGGATCACGTAGTACAAGATGACAGATGCTGCATTTCAATGCACCTCTAGGCTCACCATTAACAAACTTGTAGTCATATCCACCAAATACTTTACCAGTAGCCATTTTGGTAAGTATTCTGATCATGTGATAGTTTATATAGATAGATAGACTATACTACAAATGATTCTGATATTTTGACCACAATGAGGGCACTGCTATCATATTGTAGGAAACTCTAACGATCCATAAACAGTACATAATAGTTATAGACTCATCTAGTATGTTTTTGACATGAGAATTTGTAAAGTGGAAACCTAAGGCTTTATCTTAATTTTCATATGTTCTCAGTGGTACGTGTAGCTAACCTGCATGCAGTTTACATAATGCACTGTGATTAAAATTTTCTGTGTGCATACCTGTAGTATCTATGATGTTTTGCCTGTATGTACATCACTTTCATTTACAGTATAAAACATACTATTCATTTTTCTATTTTCATTGAAAGTAGGCAATCAAAAAAGATAAATGCTTTCCAAAGACTTATCTAGCAGCAAGATAAGGTTTAAGAGGGCAATGAAGTAACTCTGAAATCATCTTCATTGATGTAAATGCTCTAGAGAAGAGTCAATTACAGCTATATGTAAAAGCAACTTTACCATTTTGCTTGACACATTTTAAGCAAATAATCTAGTGTGCATGTAGAAGTTTATAATAAAGTGATTTTCTAGATATGAGATTGGACATGCATAGTCTCACAAGCCACTTGTTCTGTCCATGTTTGTCCATAACATTATATGATTAATTCATTTAATCCCAATCAAGTGTCAGAACTAATACCTTTTGCTCTTCCCATGATGTTTTAAATTTGCCTCCTATGTGTAATGATTTGTTGTTATTTTTTCCGTATCAATTATATAATTCTAAATCTAAAAAAGCAAATGTACATGTGTATATAGCTATTTTCTAGCAAGTTCTAATAATTTAAATGTCAGCTGCCAAGTTCTATTAAATTTACATATTAGTTCTTACAGTTAAGCCAACTTTTGGCCCGTGATGTCACCTTTACACTGACTCTTAAATACAGACTATCATCTTTAAGATACTGAAAATGACTAAATGAATTATGCTGATCTAATTCTTTGTGTGATATGAACTTAGGCCTACCCCAACTATTTGAACTCAAACCTTCTCCCACTCTTTCCTTGCAATCATCTGGTGTTGAATCATCAAAACGAATGACTCCCTTCTTATGATTCCTATCCTCCAGTTGATTCAGTAGTTCTATAGTAACTTCTCCTTGAAATGGCCACTCCAATATATCATCATATTCTCCTGCCATGAGGCTAATATAGCATGAGATGTATGTAGTTTTACCATCATCACCATCTTCATTAGGATAAACACTTAATGACATTTTATATCCTCCTGGTGATGTGTAGAATCCTGGACTATACCACTTTTCATCTTCTTCTTTCTTGTTAGTAAACTGGCTTATCTTAAATACTAATGATGCTGTTAATTGATTTTTCTGCTCTAAAGTTGTTTTCAGAGATTTTATTGTCTCTGTTGCCTCCTGCAGTTTCTCTTTTGTCATCTGCAGCCTCCCATCTGTTAATTGTAGATGTACTTCCATTGATTCTTTATTGTGGCTCTCTTGTTCTTCTCGCTTCATTTTCTTATTACATCCAACAGTATTGTATTCACACGGTATGATAGCTTTAGGGCAGGCCTCATTGTGTGATGCTAGTGAATGTCGTGGTATCTTCTCATTGCAACCTTCATTACTGCATTGGATTGGGAGGTCAGGACACTCAAGAAGATGATTTCTGCTTGTTATCAGTTGGTGTGTGCTTCTTCGGTTGCAGTACTGACAGTTAACCATTCGTTTAGTACAGTTATCCGTCAGATGTGTCTTCAGTAAACTTCTCTTAATTTTCTCTCCACATCCATTAGTACAAGGTACCAGTTGATAGGGACAACTATTAAGATGAGTATCAATTGATGTACCAGTTTCATTAATAGTTCCCTGCCACTCACAACCCTCCTCACTGTTAGTACAGTAAACCTTAAGAGCTATGATCTCACGATTGAACTTTCCATCTGGGAAATATTGCAATGGGTTTTTGCACATTGGACATTTTATATTTTCTCTATGTTGCTCGTGTTGCTCCAGGCTTTGTAGACAGGTATTACAGAAAGTATTGTAGCAGCAGGTAACTTGCTGAGGATCACGTGATACTAATGTACATATGGCACAGATGTATTTATGATCTGGTTCACCATCAACAAACTTAAAGTCGTATCCACCATATGCTCTGACTAATGCTCTACTAGCAATAGCAACCGGCACTAGAGGGATAGGAGCGGCAATCATTATCAATGGAGGTCAAGAGATTACTGTAACTTCAACTCTGGCAAAAAAATGTAGACAAATCAACTGATGAAGGATAGGGTGGTCTGTTTACTTTTAATGGTTGTCATGGCATCAAATTTCAGACTATGAATTTTTAAAGTCTGATTTAACTATTAAAACTTGGCCAAATTTTAGCCATGTGCATGCATTGCCACTGACCTCTTTTATGAAATTCACTGAAGTTTTTTCATATTTTTTAGCTACACAGTATTATTTACTTGGGTTAGGTACTTGAGTTCATTAAGTTTGATCAATTTTGTACGGACATGAAATTATTTAGCTGGTGCATTCTTTTTGGAAAATCAAAAATAACTCTAGGTTAAAAATAAACTAACTAAAACAAAATTATTGTCTCAAGTTTTAAAATTTTTATGTCACTTTTCTATGATCTGGGATGCTCCCACTAGCCACGGCTTTGTCTTTTGTGTAGCCTTTACACTGACTCTGAAGTACAGACTATCATCTTTAAGATACTGACAATTAGTAGTTGGATTATACTTTAACTCTTTATGTGATATGAACTCTGGATTACCCCATCCAGCGCTTCTACCTTCCCTCACTTTTTGCTTGCATTTCTCTGGTGTTGATTCATGAAATGATAAGATATTCTTCCAATGATTCTTATCCTCCAGTTGATTCAGTAGCTCTGTAGTAACTACTCCTTGAAATGGCCACTCCAGTATATCATCATGCACTCCTGCCTCAAGGTAAATATAGCAAGCTATGTGTGTGCCTTTACTATCACCATTGCCATTAGGATCAACACGTAGTGATATCTTGTATCCTCCTGGTGATATGTAGAACCCTGGACTGTACCATATCTCATTTCCTTTTTTCTTCTTAGTAAATTGATTTAGCTTCAACACTTCATTTGTTGTCATTGTTGCATTTATCTGCTCTAAATTTGTTTTCAGAGATTTTATGTTTCTTTTGTAACTTTTAGTTGCTCCTTTGTCATTTCCATTTGTTTATATGTCACTTGCATTTGTTCCTTTGTTGTTCTTTCCAATTGTTTATACGACACTTGCGTTTGTTCGTTTGTTGTTGCCAGTTGCTTGTACATACAGACACAAACAAAGGCAAAGACAAAGACAAAGAAAAAGACACACACACAACTTACATAGAAATAGTGCCTGAAAATTTGTTGTTGTTCCTTTGTCACTTGTAGTTGTTTCTTTGTCAGTTGTAGGTGTGCTGTTATTGATTCTTCATTGTGCTTCTCTTGTTCTTCTCTCTTCATTCTCTTTTCACATCCAACAGTATTGTATTCACATGGTACGATAGCTTTAGGGCAGGTCTCATTGTGTGATGCTTGTGAACGTCGTCGTGGTATCATATTGCAACCTTCATTACTGCATTGGATTGAGAGGTCAGGACACTCAGCATAATGGCTTCTGCTTGTTATCAGTTTATATCGACCTTTTTGGTTGCAGTACTGACAGTAAACCATTCATTCAGGATAGTTCTTTGTCAAATGTGTCTCCATTGCACTTCTCCTAATCTCCTCTCCACACTCATTAGTACAAGGTACCAGTTGATAGGTACAACTATTAAGATGAGTATCAATTGATGTACCAGTTTCATTAATAGTTCCCTGCCACTCACAACCCTCCTCACTGTTAGTACAGTGAACCTTAAGAGCTATGACCTTACGATTGATTCCACCATCTTTAAAGTAGTTGATTGGCTCTCGACATAAAGGACACCTTTTGTCTTCCATTTGGTCTAGACAGCTCTTGCAAAACCTTTTTGCACAGCAGGTAACTTGATGAGGATCACATAGTACGAATGTACAAATGCTGCATTTTAATTCATCCCTAGGCTCACCATCAACAAACCTATACCTATGTCTACCAGTAGCCATTGCAGTAATGATAAGGATTACAGGGTGTGTCTGTTTACTGTAACTGGTTGCTATGACATCTATCAGACCATGAATATAAACTATAATCATAATTTACTGTCTGCATGTTTTAATTAAGACAAGCCTTTGTCTTAATGCATGTGCAGCAATCCACTACATGTTTCTTTTTTAAAATGCAACTAATACTTCAACAATTTACACTTTCAAAATAATAATGTAATGCTATAGTAAAGTAATTTTCATAAAGTGTTTTCACTACTTGCTAAAATTAAAAATATGAAAAGTGTTTCAGTTTTAGCGATTTTCTTTATTTAATTTTTGTATTCCGGATGCTCCCACTAGCCATGGCTTTGTCTTTGATGTAACCTTTACACTGACTCTGAAGTACAGACTATCATCTTTAAGATACTGACAATTAGTAGCTGGATTATACTCTAACTGCTCATGTGATATGAACTTAAAAATACCCAATCCACGTGAGCTTTTACCTTCCCTCACTCTTTGCCTAGGTTCATCTCGTGTTGTTTCATTAAACGATACGGTTTCCTTCTTATGATTCTTATCCTCCAGTTGATTCAGTAGCTCTACTGTAACTTCTCCTCGAAACGGCCACTCCAATGTATCATCATATTCTCCTATCTCAAGACACATGAAGCAAGAGACATGTGTACCTGTACCTTTACCAGTACAAAGACCATTAGGATGGACACGTAGTGACATCTTGTATCCTCCTGGTGATGTGTAGAAGCCTGGGCTGTACCAATCCTCATCTCCTTTCTTCTCTTTGTATGTAGTTAGCTGAAAGACATGTTTGGTTGATTGCAAAGCATCAATCTTTTTCATTGCAACCTCAAGATGTTGTTTTATTGATTCTTCATTGTGCTTCTCTTGTTCTTCTCTCTTCATTTTCTTATTACATCCCACAGTATTGTATTCACATGGTATGATAGCTTTAGGGCAGGTCTCATTGTGTGATGCTAGTGAACGTCGTGGTATCTTCTCATTACAGCCTTCATTACTGCATTGGATTGGGACGTCAGGACACTTGTCATGGTGGCTTTCGCTTACTATCAACTTCCATGGTCCTTCTTTTTTACAATACTGACAATGGGCTATTCGTTTATGACATTTGTCAGTCAGATGTGTCTTCAGTTCACCTCTCCTGACCATTGCTCCACACTCATTAGTACAAGGTACCTGTTGATAGGGACAGCTATTAAGATGAGTATCAATTGATGTATCATCAGTTTCATTAATAGTTCCCTGCCACTTACAACCCTCCTCACTGTTAGTACAGTAAACTTTAAGGGCTATGATCTCACGATTGATTCCACCATCTTTGAAATAGCGGTTCATTGGTTTTTGGCATAAAGGACAGTTAACTTTTTTGAATGCTCTTGCTATTCCTGTTGGTATAAGTCGATCTAGGCAGCTTTTACATAACCTGTTTGAGCAGCAGGTAATTTGATGAGGATCACGTACTACAAGTTGACACATGCTGCATTTTAAGACCTTCCTAGGCTCACCATCAACAAACTTATACTTATATCCACCATATTCTCCATCAGTAGCCATTGCAGTAATGATACAGATTGCAGGGTGTCTGTTTACTGTAACTGGTTGCTATGACATTTTTCTGACCATGAATATAAACTGTTTTAATTAAAACAGAAACTTGCACACCATGGCATAAATAATAATTATTCTGTGCTGTATGAAACTAATTTTTATTGTCTTTTGCATTGTTTGATACTTGTACTTGATGTTGTACTGAAATTTTATGGTATCTCTTTTATCTTGCATATTAATGTTACCGGTATATTATTTTATTTTATTCAATAGCTCCTGATTTGGAACAGGCCACTGTTACCATGGCTACCAACTTCACAGCTACTCTAAATATTTCTCGTGCTTTCTTTCCTCTCCTGCGTCCTGGAGCTCGTGTTGTCAATGTTGCATCATTTACGGGGAAACTTAGTAAATATGGACCAGCTGTAAAGGTTAGGAGTGCACTGATAAACTTGTTATGCATGTTAAATATAAATGGGCATATACTAGTGTATATGTACACTTAGAAAATAATGAAGTAGAAAATTTAGTGCAATAACATCAAAATTACATCTTACATAGGCTAAATTCACAGATCCTAATTTGACTGAGGCTGGCCTAGTGTCACTGATGGAAGAATACATCTCTGTTATCAGAGAAGGTACATAATAAACTATTTCATATGACTAATGTAGATACTCCATGCATTCAAAACAGGTAAAGCTAGTGAGCTAGGTTGGAACAATACCAAGTATGGTACAAGCAAAACAGCAGTCATTGCCCTCAGTAAGATACACGCTAAAGAGCTTGCAGCTTCTGACAAGAAAGACATATTAGTTAACAGTTGCTGTCCGGGTTGGGTAAAGACAGACATGGCTGGAGACAGAGCTCCTTTGACTCCTGATGAAGGAGCTGTCACACCAGTCACTTGTGCTCTGCTGCCCCCTGGTAGTCCTAATGGAGAATTCTGGAGGGATCAAAAAGTTTCTGAATGGTGATCTTTCTAAATCACAGTGATCTTAATAAACTTTAATTAATAGTTTATTTAAAACTGCCTAGTTTCCATGTAGTGATTTGATAGCTAGTTATAGCTTTTTATTTTCAAAAAAAATTAGTTTTATAGCATGTTATTAAAACTATAAAAACAGGACAGTGTTAATAGCAGCTTCATAAAAGTTTTAGAAGAGGCAAAGTTCTTGGCTATGGCTCAGGATTAACAGCAACAACAAGGTCAATAGATCCCTGTACATAACACATAATAATTTTTAATTTTTTAGAATCTTTTGTTCACTTACCGAGCGTGAGTCCATTGCTCTTTTGAAAGCTTCTCCAGCTTCATCATGTGACACATCAACAAGACTGACACCATCACATACCAGCACCTGATCACCAACGTTGAGTTTACCTTTATAATGGAAAATAATAAAATGATCATATTATATTTTTTATATTTTTTCTCCTCTCTCTCTCTTATATTACCATAGCTATGAGCTGCTCCTCCTTCAATTATTCTTGATATTATTATTTTGGGTCCAAGTGGTGTGTCCCTTCCTCCCCTTATTGCCAACTTCAGTGGCCCATTCTATTGTCAAAGTTAAGGGAAACCATTTCAAGAGTATCTTCACCAAAAATAAAAGGTACTAACTTTTGGTATTGTGTGGTATTGTACCTGCCTTCCTTCCAATATATCCTGACTAAACTACATGTATATAATAATTATAATAGTATAAAGCCCA